ATCCCCAATCCTCGGTATTGATTTTCTGCAGCAACACAAACTGTTAGTTGATCCGATAAGCCCCAAGCTAATAGATTCGCTCAATAAAACGTACATTGCTGGTACGATTAGCCGTGCATCATCACTGAACTTGATGGTCACACGCACACCAGCATCTCCATATACCAATTTGGTAAATCAGTTTCCTGACCTTTTAAAACCTTCTTTTCGAGGAACAGAACCGAAGCATCATGTGGTTCATCATATTAAAACCACTGGACCGCCAGTTTTTGCACGTCCACGACGCCTTGACCCATATCGACTTAAAATTGCCAAAACAGAGTTCGACAAAATGCTAGAGCTTGGTATTATTCGACCGTCCAACAGCTCTTGGTCTTCACCGCTTCACATGGTACCCAAAAAGTCTTCTGGTGAAATACGGCCGTGTGGTGATTATCGAGCTTTAAACAAGCAAACGGTACCTGATAGATACCCAATACCACACATCCACGATTTTGCTAGCAACTTACCAAATGTTAAAGTTTTCTCTAAAATCGATCTGGTCCGAGCGTATCATCATATCCCCATCCACCCGGATGACGTTCCGAAAACTGCCATTACCACACCATTCGGTTTATACGAATTCGTACGCATGCCCTTCGGACTGATGAACGCAGCTCAGACATTCCAACGCCTAATTGACCAAGTACTCCGTGGTCTCCCTTTCGTCTACGCATACATCGATGACTTACTAATTGCAAGTGCAGACGAAGCCGAGCATTTGAAACATGTGAAGACAGTGTTTGAAAGACTGAACCAATACGGAATGACTATCAACTTAGACAAATGCGAATTTGGTAAGACCTCCCTGAAATTTCTCGGTCATTTAATCGATAGCCAAGGAATCAGACCAGTCCCTGATGACGTACAAGCTATCAAAGATTATCCATTACCAGATTCTTTTAAGAAATTACGACGATTTTTGGGTCTCGTTAATTTTTACCGGCGTTTTATACCGAACTGTGCCAAAGCTTTACAACCATTAACCGATTGCTTACGTGGACATAGTCGTTCATTCCATTTGCCTGCAGAAGCTGTTAAAGCATTCGAAAATGTCAAACAATTGTTAAATGACAAGACACTCTTGGTCAGACGTCAAAATGACGCTCCTCTGTCTCTCATGACAGACGCTTCAGACGTTGCCATCGGGGCAGTTTTACAACAGCAGGTACACGGCGAATGGCAACCCCTAGCATTCTTTTCGAAACGACTGAATCCTACTCAATGTCGCTATAGCACTTTTGGTAGAGAGTTATTGGCTGTTTATTTAGCAATCAAACACTTTCGACATATGCTGGAAGGTACAACTTTTACTGTCTTTACAGACCATAAAGCTCTAACGAAAGCCTTATCAGCAAAACAGGATAACTACTCTCCGCGTGAACTACGACATCTCGAGTTTATATCTCAGTTCACCTCCGATCTGCGACACGTAAAGGGTAAAAACAATGAAGTGGCAGACGCTTTATCACGTGTGCACATTGACAACATTGTATGCCCAGACATCGACTACGAACGTCTCTCAAACCTACAACGAGATGATGCCAAGCTAAAAAAGATCATGTCTTCTAAAACAACATCTTTGAAGCTAGACGCAATTCCTTTTGGCACGACAAAAATAATCTGCGACACCTCTACAGGTAAATATCGACCCTTCGTTCCAGCAGCTATGAGACATACAGTATTCGAGAAGTTACATAACTTGTCTCATCCCGGTGTCAGTGCTACTATCAAACTAATAAAAGAAAGATTTATATGGCCGAACATTAATAGCGATGTTAAGAAGTGGACACGAACTTGCTTGTCTTGTCAAAGAGTCAAAATCAACCGTCATACCAATGCACCACTTGGTCGCTTTCCTAACCCTGACTCTAGATTTGAACATATACATGTAGACATAGTTGGTCCACTACCTCCTTCCAATGGTTGCAACTACATTCTAACTTGCATCGATAGATTCACTCGTTGGCCTGTAGCAGTTCCAATAGCCGACGTCTCCGCTGAAACAGTAGCTAAAGCTTTGGTCGAAAACTGGATAGCTAATTTTGGTGTCCCATCCATTATCACTACGGACAGAGGTGCTCAGTTTGAAAGCCGACTTTTTCAACAGCTAACTGAATTACTGGGCATCAAACGAATACGAACAACCGCCTACCATCCTAGTTCCAACGGCATGGTTGAACGCCTTCATCGACAACTCAAAGCTGCGCTCGCTGCTTCTTTGACTCAAAACGACTGGTCAACCAAACTCCCACTGGTACTGCTTGGTATACGATCTGCTCTAAAGAAAGATATTGGCTGCTGTGTTTCCGAACTAGTCTATGGAACAACATTACGATTACCAGGAGAATTTTTCACCCCGGGTAACCAAGTTCCACAAGATATGACTGGTTATGTGCACCAGCTAAAACAACACATGAACGAGCTCAAGATATCACTTCCACGCCAGCAGGAACGAACGTCATACATCCCGCCACACCTGACAGATTGCACTCACGTCTTCGTCAGGAGAGAGGGTGTACAACGACCACTTCAACCCGCTTATGATGGCCCATTCAAAGTTCTAAATAGAAACGATAAAGTTATCACGATAGAACGACTGAATAAAGCAGAAGCCATCAGTGTCGACAGAGTCAAACCAGCGTTCATCGACGATTTCGAAGACAACGATGAAGATCAGCTGAACGACGTGCCAACATCTACATCCACGCAAGCTTCAACGTCGCCAGAGAAACCTATGAAAACTACACGCTCTGGTAGGAGAGTTCATTGGCCTAAACGTTATGTGCAAATCATCAAAATATAACTTATTACGAATTTTCATTTTTATTATCTTTATTCGTAATTGTCATTTGACTACACATTTAACTGATTAATATCTTCATACGTCGATCACGTCACTACTATGTTAACATTGATATTTCCTGTATTATTACATTTAATCATATAGCGCTTAATATTCACGTATCATTTCCGTATACAGACTACAGATCCCCGGCCGATTGTATCATTCCTTATATATTCTACCACGATCATCAATCCTATTTTTTGTTTTATTATCGCAATTATTATCGGCCTTATTGACCGCATTAAATTGCTCATTTTTTCAGCTTAATAAATCGCTTACTGTGTACTGTAGCTGTTACGTATTACGCTGATGCATGTTATTGTCGAACACTTAAATGTATTTTTTTTATATTTCAGTGTTCTGGTGGGGGAATTATGTAGTACCCCTGCACCAACTATAAACATACGTTTTTAATCTAATTTGCATACTCATATTATATGTTTACACATACCGATTTTATATGTACTTCGTAAACATTTGCCAATTTACTGTTGAACGTTACCTTGATACTTTTTCGAAATTTGACTACGGCTATAATACACGATTATACTCTTCACAAGTGCCTTCTGATTTTACGTTGTGGGCGTCGAGTAGCCACAACGTCTGCGCACATTGATAAACGTGAAGAAGTACTAGGAAATACGTGTACGCTCATTTAGTCAAATAGAACACGCAATAAGTCTTACCAAGACGACATTATAGTTCATGGTCCGAACATCAAATTGCATAATGAACGTCTTTTAAAACTGTTCAGGCGTTTCAGTGAGAAAAATGTTCTTGTTAATCCATCTAAATGTCATTTTACTTTGTCGTCTGTATCATGCTTGGGATACACAGTAGACTCTGAGGGTTTCAGACCTGATGCTAGTCGTCTGTCACCTCTAATTCAAGCACCGTCACCTAATAATATGTCGTCATTGAGATCATGGATTGGTACTCTTCATTTTTACTCCGGATTCATTCCCAATTTCACTCAACTGTTATCTCCACTTTTTGATATTGTCTCCAGTAAACAATTCAAGTGGGAACAACAACATGAAGATATCTTGCGAAAAACGTTGGAGTTTCTTAATAAACAAGCTTTCTTAAGACCTTTTCATCGAAAGATAAGTCTGTTCTCACTACAGATGCCTCTCCTACGGGTATAGCTGCAGTACTTGAGCAAAATGGACAACCTGGTATTTGTATTTCAAGACGTCTAAGTAAGAGTGAACAAGGGTACTCACAAACCCAGAAAGAGGCTCTAGCAGTTGTATGGGCAATATAACTCCTGCACAAGTATCTCTTCGGTACTAAGTTTCACATAGTTACTGATCACCAGGCTTTGAAATTCATTTACAATCCAGAAAAATCTTTGAATAGTTCATCTGCTGCTATGGTTCAAAGTTGAAGTTTAGAATTAAGTGCATATGATTGCACTATTGAACACAGATCGGCTAAAGATATACTTCATGCAGACTTATCTCGTTATTCATTATTTGAAAATTCTGCTAATGACACTGATTGTTTGTTAGTCCAGCCGTTACCTGTGGATAGAGTTTGACTTATAAATGATACTCGGAAATATTACGGATGCATTATAAATGCAACAAAAAGAGGTCGGAATATTCAGTGTAAGCGAAGATTTCCGGACTTTTATTAGCGAAGAGATGAGATTTCATTCCATTCTGAAGGATTTCTATGTCTGAATGACAGAATTGTTATTCCTCCGACATTAAGATCTGCGATTTTGGATGATCTTCATTCTGCTCATCACGGAGCTGATAAGATGAAATCATTAGCACGTCTAACATGCTGGTGGCCGGAAATTGATGCTGACACTAACAAAAGATCGAATAGCTGTTCTAGCTGTTTGCATAAAATATCCTATGGGAAGTCATCGTGGAAACCGTGACCTGTGTCTTGTGAGGTTTGGCAGCGTATTCATGCGGATTACTGTGGTCCATTCTTAAATTCATACTGTGCTTTAGTTATTGTGGATTCTTATTCTAGATGGACAGAAGTCATTATTACAGACACTCCTAATGCAAAATTCACTCACAGAGCGTTGAGAAAGATTTTTAGTCGAGAAGGAATTCCAGATGTCTTAGTTACTGATAATGGTACTCATTTCACTGAGAAGAACTTCAATGATTGGCTTAAACACATAGGTTGTCGTCATCTGTACACAGCACCACGTCATCCTCAGTCTAACGGTTTGGCAGAAAATTTCGTACGAACGTTATAGAGTGCCATAGCATCAATGAGTCCTAAGAATTTTGATGAGCTAGAGAGATGTGTAGATAACTTCCTACTTCAATATCGCAATGTGGAGTATACAAGTACCCATGAAATTCCTGCTAAACTATTCAAATCTCGAATTCTCAGAAAGCACCTAATGTCCACGACTTCTGATGTACATTATTACAGAGGGAATGACTATAGACCTTCTGTTGGAATCATACTACAAAAACTGGGAAATCGAATGGTGAAAATATTAGACATCGAAGATCATTCAATTCATAACAGACACCTGGACCAAGTGAAAATAAATGAAGTAGGTCGTCCTGATTATAATTTTAATGATTCCGTTACTAATCCTGATTTTGTAGATAATTCAGAAATAAGTCCAGATGATATTGATGAAAATAATATCACAGAATCAGTTAGAAGATCCCAGAGACTTGCAAGCAAACCGAGACCTCATTATAGATACGCAAGGAGACATTCGACATGTGGCGGATTTGGTGATTGACAATTTCTATCTCTGTAATGTTTAAAGGATTGCTGTTGTTTGTTAACATATTCATTATATGATTTGAATAATAATTCCGCCAAATACAAATTCCTAAATCCATGCCTCTCTGTGTTTTGGTTGAGTTCCTGTAATTCGGTCATTGCGAAATACTACTATTACAAATAATTATCACATTTTGGCGTCGCTATGGTATTAAATAATCTTGGAAAGTTTCCTATGAATGGTTCACCGCGGGAAATCTCCGATTATCTGGAATGTCTCTACTCATGATGTATGTCGAAGAATGTTCGCGATGACAAAACTTCAGCCGATTTTATTACTGCTGTTGGACTGGATGCGTACAGCCTAGTGAAAACTCTGTCATTTCCAGATAAACCAATTTCTCTGTCATATGAGAAATTGGTTTATCTGGAAATGACAGAGTTTTCACTAGGCTGTACGCATCCAGTCCAACAGCAGTAATAAAATCGGCTGAAGTTTTGTCATCGCGAACATTCTTCGACATACATCATGAGTAGAGACATTCCAGATAATCGGAGATTTCCCGCGGTGAACCATTCATAGGAAACTTTCCAAGATTATTTAATACCATAGCGACGCCAAAATGTGATAATTATTTGTAATAGTAGTATTTCGCAATGACCGAATTACAGGAACTCAACCAAAACACAGAGAGGCATGGATTTAGGAATTTGTATTTGGCGGAATTATTATTCAAATCATATAATAAATATGTTAACAAACAACAGCAATCCTTTAAACATTACAGAGATAGAAATTGTCAATCACCAAATCCGCCACATGTCGAATGTCTCCTTGCGTATCTATAATGAGGTCTCGGTTTGCTTGCAAGTCTCTGGGATCTTCTAACTGATTCTGTGATATTATTTTCATCAATATCATCTGGACTTATTTCTGAATTATCTACAAAATCAGGATTAGTAACGGAATCATTAAAATTATAATCAGGACGACCTACTTCATTTATTTTCACTTGGTCCAGGTGTCTGTTATGAATTGAATGATCTTCGATGTCTAATATTTTCACCATTCGATTTCCCAGTTTTTGTAGTATGATTCCAACAGAAGGTCTATAGTCATTCCCTCTGTAATAATGTACATCAGAAGTCGTGGACATTAGGTGCTTTCTGAGAATTCGAGATTTGAATAGTTTAGCAGGAATTTCATGGGTACTTGTATACTCCACATTGCGATATTGAAGTAGGAAGTTATCTACACATCTCTCTAGCTCATCAAAATTCTTAGGACTCATTGATGCTATGGCACTCTATAACGTTCGTACGAAATTTTCTGCCAAACCGTTAGACTGAGGATGACGTGGTGCTGTGTACAGATGACGACAACCTATGTGTTTAAGCCAATCATTGAAGTTCTTCTCAGTGAAATGAGTATCATTATCAGTAACTAAGACATCTGGAATTCCTTCTCGACTAAAAATCTTTCTCAACGCTCTGTGAGTGAATTTTGCATTAGGAGTGTCTGTAATAATGACTTCTGTCCATCTAGAATAAGAATCCACAATAACTAAAGCACAGTATGAATTTAAGAATGGACCACAGTAATCCGCATGAATACGCTGCCAAACCTCACAAGACACAGGTCACGGTTTCCACGATGACTTCCCATAGGATATTTTATGCAAACAGCTAGAACAGCTATTCGATCTTTTGTTAGTGTCAGCATCAATTTCCGGCCACCAGCATGTTAGACGTGCTAATGATTTCATCTTATCAGCTCCGTGATGAGCAGAATGAAGATCATCCAAAATCGCAGATCTTAATGTCGGAGGAATAACAATTCTGTCATTCAGACATAGAAATCCTTCAGAATGGAATGAAATCTCATCTCTTCGCTAATAAAAGTCCGGAAATCTTCGCTTACACTGAATATTCCGACCTCTTTTTGTTGCATTTATAATGCATCCGTAATATTTCCGAGTATCATTTATAAGTCAAACTCTATCCACAGGTAACGGCTGGACTAACAAACAATCAGTGTCATTAGCAGAATTTTCAAATAATGAATAACGAGATAAGTCTGCATGAAGTATATCTTTAGCCGATCTGTGTTCAATAGTGCAATCATATGCACTTAATTCTAAACTTCAACTTTGAACCATAGCAGCAGATGAACTATTCAAAGATTTTTCTGGATTGTAAATGAATTTCAAAGCCTGGTGATCAGTAACTATGTGAAACTTAGTACCGAAGAGATACTTGTGCAGGAGTTATATTGCCCATACAACTGCTAGAGCCTCTTTCTGGGTTTGTGAGTACCCTTGTTCACTCTTACTTAGACGTCTTGAAATACAAATACCAGGTTGTCCATTTTGCTCAAGTACTGCAGCTATACCCGTAGGAGAGGCATCTGTAGTGAGAACAGACTTATCTTTCGATGAAAAGGTCTTAAGAAAGCTTGTTTATTAAGAAACTCCAACGTTTTTCGCAAGATATCTTCATGTTGTTGTTCCCACTTGAATTGTTTACTGGAGACAATATCAAAAAGTGGAGATAACAGTTGAGTGAAATTGGGAATGAATCCGGAGTAAAAATGAAGAGTACCAATCCATGATCTCAATGACGACATATTATTAGGTGACGGTGCTTGAATTAGAGGTGACAGACGACTAGCATCAGGTCTGAAACCCTCAGAGTCTACTGTGTATCCCAAGCATGATACAGACGACAAAGTAAAATGACATTTAGATGGATTAACAAGAACATTTTTCTCACTGAAACGCCTGAACAGTTTTAAAAGACGTTCATTATGCAATTTGATGTTCGGACCATGAACTATAATGTCGTCTTGGTAAGACTCAACACCATCATCTAATCCATCTATCATCTGATTTATTACTTTTTGAAATATTGCAGGAGAAACCTTTAAACCAAAAGGTAAGAACTTATGCTTGAACAATCCAAATGGAGTATTAATGGTTGTTAATGCACTAGAAGCTCCATCAAGAGGAATCTGCAAATAAGCATCTTTGAGATCTATTTTGGAAAAGTATTTTGAGCCATGTAGCTTGTAGAGAATGTCTTCGCTTTCTAGCGTAGTGCAACTTTGCTGTAGTAGACGACTATTGAGTGTAAGGCGGTAGTCACCACAAATTCTCGGTCTTTTTCCATCAGCCTTTAGTGGCGTCACAATGGGAGTAGCCCAATTCGAAGATTCAACTGGCAACCAACTTGTCTAACTCTTTCTTAACTGCATCTCGCAAACCATATGGAATTAATCGGTGCTTTAGAAAAGTATGATCACCCTCTATTTCAAGATGGATGGGCTGAATCTTCATGCCACCTACACATTTTGAACATTGGAGAACTAATTCGCTGATCAAAGATTCACCAAACAACTGAACGCAATGTGAGATTTCGACATTCAACAATCTAAGTGCTTTCAATCCCAATAAAGATGGACCATATTCACTAACAAGAAAGTGGATATTCACATAATTGCCACTGTCTGACTTCAAACCACCGTTAGTTGCACCAATAAGAGGTAGTTTATGACCAGTTATGCTTGTAATCGAACTAGTAGTAGGGTCTACCTGGGCATGGTTACAAAGCGATAGTAAATCTTTCTTAGAAATTATAGATTCAGTACTCCCAGTATCAATTATAAAACAGTGAGACTTGCCTGAACTTGTAGTGAAGGTTCTCATTAGATGAGATTGAGTATTGTGAAAAGTTGAAAGAGACATTGACTTCATTTTACCAGACAGTTTGGGAGAATTATGAGAATTCTGAGTAGCATAAGTATGTGAGCTTCTGCAAACAGACTTGATGTGCCCAATTTTACCACATTTATGGCACTTAGCACCCCGAAAACGGTAAGTGCTTCGTAGATGAATTTTTCCACAGGAAAAACACGGTTTCATGTTCTTGCTTTCTGTCTGCATTCCATTACATGTGGACGACAGTTTGGATTTCTTTCTATGAACACTTTTATTATCAACTTTGGACAGCATGACATCAGACTCTGACGTAGTGGTACCTGGGTAGTCACTGTTGACATCTTCATATGTAATACATAAATCTTTGGCAGTTTGAAAGGTGCAGGAAGGAATCTGAACCAACTCTTTCTCTAACTTGGGAATATTGATTCCAACAATTAGACGATCACGTAATTGAGTATGGAGCTGATCTCCAAAGTTGCACTTTGAAGCTTGTATCTGAAGCTGAAGAATAAAGTCTCTAATCTTCTGGTTGGGAGCACAAACAAGTTTATTGAACCGAGCCCTCTCTCGTGTTTCGAAAGTTGTTATGTGGAAGTGATTTGTTTGAAGCTCACGAAGTTTATCATATGACAGAGAAATTGGTTTATCTGGAAATGACAGAGTTTTCACTAGGCTGTACGCATCCAGTCCAACAGCAGTAATAAAATCGGCTGAAGTTTTGTCATCGCGAACATTCTTCGACATACATCATGAGTAGAGACATTCCAGATAATCGGAGATTTCCCGCGGTGAACCATTCATAGGAAACTTTCCAAGATTATTTAATACCATAGCGACGCCAAAATGTGATAATTATTTGTAATAGTAGTATTTCGCAATGACCGAATTACAGGAACTCAACCAAAACACAGAGAGGCATGGATTTAGGAATTTGTATTTGGCGGAATTATTGTTCAAATCATATAATAAATATGTTAACAAACAACAGCAATCCTTTAAACATTACAGAGATAGAAATTGTCAATCACCACATTCCACTGGCCAGTATCCTGATGCTAAATCTAATGTAGTAAGCCGATTCGATCCCCCTGGTGCGTCAAAAGTGTCGTCTATACGTGGGAGGGGAAACAATCTTGTCTAGTTAACTGGTTCAACTTGCGATAATCTACACATAACCAAAGTGTTCCATTCGATTTTTTAACTTAAACTACTGGGGAAGCCCATGGAGATACAGCGGGTTTGATGACATTCTTCTCTAACGGTTCATCAACTAACTTATTCATCTCCTCCTTATAATGTGCAGGTACTCGCCGTGCAGGTTGTATACGAGGTGGAGCGTTACCTGTATGTATTTGGTGTTAGATCAGTTTTGTTCCCCCGGTGTTTCTCCGTCCCAGTCAAAACAGTCCATATAATTGTCAAGCCCTTTATCGAAATTGGTTGCCGTTTCCGAGGGTTCCGGGAATAAATCAAAATTCTTAGTTTCTGTTTCATAACATCGCTCTACACGCCGGACTTGCCGGGCTCTATATTGTTCCCTATAATAAATGCATTGAAGCTGGTACTCAATATAAGAGTCTTCTGGTAACAATCTGTTATTCTGGACGGCTTTCCCAAGAGGTCAACTCCTAGGATTACTTGCCACAGCACCTGGGTAGACACAGTGAAAGCGTGCTGAAGCGACAGTGTCTCTAATTTTATAGGTAGTAGGACTACTCCCTGGGATTGCATGCAATCTCCATTGGCTATCGTAAGCCGCAACTTGCGAGTCCCTATTGTGAGCCTGAGTCAACTAACATCACACACTTCTGTTACCTATAAATCCTGCAACTATTGGGGAGGAAGTGACGCCAATTAGGTTAACAGTAGATATACAGATTATATCGGCATGTAGCTCACCTATGTTGTGCCCATAAGTGCTAGCAGACTTACCGAACTATCTGCAGTAGTAGTAGTCGTTTCTTGAAGTAGATTGTGACTGTGGACGTCGTTTTCATTGTGATATTTGTTTCTGTGAGTATTTTGCTTTCCTGTGCCGATATCTCATTGCGTTGACTTGTTGGTATATGGCTCCTGCTTCTTTCAGGCCTTCCGGAAATTGTTCCCTGTTCTCGGCTCCTCCTATGTATGCTGCGATGTGCGAGTTGAATTCTTTCTTATAACGGAATTCGATACCCCTCAAAAACTGGCTAAAATAGCTTCTTCAACTTCAAATAGGGCTTATCCTGCATATCTTGACGAGCTAGCTTCCGGAGACGCAAGATGAACTGGTTGATGAATTCGATTTGTTTCTGGCTGCACTCGCTGAGTTGTTTTTAGCGCCTCTATATGAATTACTCGTGGCAATGTCCGTGCTCTTATTGTACTCAGAAGAGTACTCAACAGCACATGCACATAATTCAAAGCAGTTATGTGCATTTCCAGGGATCGTTTAGGCACGTTCATCAGATCTACGTATCGACGCAGCTTGTCTGAGCACAGATCGAAGTTATCTCGAACCTCCAGTTTAAATGGCAGTGGATGGTTATAACGCGACGCAGGCTGGTTTGACTGAAACGCTTAATCCATGGCTTCAGCTAGTTAATCAACAATCTTGTTACATGCTGTCCACTTCACAGGAAATGTGTTATTGGAAGCTGTGGTGAGTCGAGACTTAAAAGAAGAAAGTTTTCGTCGGCAGATGCACCACTTATGTAATCACAATCGGAGAGC